GTTGATTAAACTGAACACCTTCGAGATCACCCTATTATAACAAATCATGTAAATTTTGTTCAAATAAAACTTAATATTATATTCAAAAATATTTAAAAACTGTGATTGTTTGTTATTGTGATCCAAGGTATATCTTTTTAATAAATTTTGACAGTGTTTCCAAAATTGAATTTAGGCTTGATAAGCTTTTAAATAAGTGATATACCTAGATAGGCAGTTGCGTAATTGAAATATTTTAGGTTACAACTTGTTTGAGGTTAAAATTTCTCCACATAAAACATGTCAACTTGTTATAATTCGCTAAACCGTTTTGGATTCAGGAAAAAGGGCAATTTGTATAAAACTTCCATTACCAGTCTATTTATGGCTTATTAAAACTCTTAAAATATAAGCTTAACAAATTTCAGTATATTTTAATTATCGAAATTCGCGAAAAAAAAATACTTTCAGAGCCTCTATTTTGAAAACAATAGACCCATAACTCATTTCAAAACACCAATATTTTGGGTTTTACCACTGACTCATTTGAAGTTTATAAAAAAATTGATAAAATTTCTCTCACAAATTAATATCTTCAGATACATAACTACTTAAGTATCTGTTACATTGTATTTAGCATGTATCATACGAATGCAACTGCTTGTATGCATTTATACTGCTTGTGAACATATTTTTAAATTGACAGTTTTGCATAAATAAACGAAAAATATACAGTTTGTTTATTAATTACTTGTACAAACTTTTAAAAAGTGAATCTTTGACTAATTTTAAGATAAAAAGTTCATATGAATTCGCAACGGCTTAGTTCTTGAGATACAGTGCGTCCAAAAAAAATTTTTGTTTGGTATTTTGATTATATTTTTGTTTTTGCGAATTTTTATTTTTTTCTAATTTTCACTAGTTTGGTGGTAGTAGTTTGGTGATAGTAGTAGTAAAGTGTATCATAGCACATGACTCTTTTTCCCTTGTTTTTCAAAAACTCTTAATGATTCAACTTACAAAAGTCCAACACAGGTTTAACTTTAAACCGTTTTTTTACAAAAAGCTGCTTTCAGCGACAAATACTAAGAGTACCTTTTGTACGTAAAATTAAATTTAATGGAGAATTTAATTTTTTGTCAAAAATGACATAGGTACAGTGCGACACAAAGTTACGGTTATTTAATCCAGGTACAACACTGTATGTGGCGCTTTAACATTAAACAAAAAACTAAGTATATAGTATTTGAGTTTCTCATCATCAATACTCCCAGTTTCCCGAATTTCGCCAACTTGCCATGTATCGAACAAAAATATAATCAAGATACCAAACAATTTTTTTTTCTACGTCCTGTATCTCAAGAACGAAGTCGCTGCGGACCCATGTTCATACTAACTTTTTTTTTTAAATCAGTTCACCCATTAAAGTTTGTACATTAAAGTTTGTACATGTACTATCTCGTGTACTATAAACAGCCTGTATATGTGAAAACCAACTGGCATGTCGGTGAGATTATAACCTTCAAAATATTGTGGGTGTACATAATTCAATGTTGCTCGAGAAACGATTAAAGAATCCGTAAAGTTGTTGTTTCCACAATATCATTAGTTAAAACAATTTGCATGTTGTTATACCACATTTTATATGCATTCTACATCAGTTATTTTTGTTAATATTAATTAATTATAGTAGTAGATACATCCATATATTATATTTTTATAACAATGAAACTAACCCGTTTATTCTGAATTGTGATTGGGCTTGGAGACATGAGTCATAGAAATAGGAGAAAATAACACACACCTTTTTTTAAGGTGCGTAGACAAATAAAATAGAATCTTCTAGAGAATGAACGAGGTAATATGTAATTTGCAGTTCAATGCTAATTGTATAATTCCGTTACATTGTGAATTTATATTTAAATAATAGTTATGCAATAAACAACATAACCTTAAAGGCACTGGTATAGTTCAAGTATTTTCAAAATGTTAAGATAGTTATGTATTCGTGAAAAATCTATGTACCTAGTTGTAATACTAATTATTTAAGGGGAAAACTATTCTGTGCATGTAAAGGGTGTCGCAAAAGTAACGCAGGATTTGAATAGTGCACAATTTTCATTCTGAAGAGTTGGCAGTATTGTACAGGGTCACATATAGTAAACACGTTGCGATTAGACAAAATGGAGCGCTATACGACAGATGAGCGAGTGAAGATTGTGAAAATTGATTGCAAGCACGGAGAGTGTGTAGCTGACACTGTGCGCAAATTACGTTGAATATTCCGTAGAATCAACGCCTCGAATGAAACAACAGTGGAAAGGTTAGTTGCCAAATTTGAACAAACAAGTTTGATTGCAGCAATAGAAAAACAGGCCGGCGTCGTACTAGCCGTTTAGCCGAAAATATTGCTACGGTGTGTGTAACGGAAATTCCCGTAACTTCAGTGCGCCGTCCGTCGGTCACTGCAATTAAACATTCAAGAAACACAATGCAACGGATTTTAACAAAAGATCTGCATCTGCGTCCATTCAGGATTCAGTCAACCCAGGAATTGAAACCAGACGACCATTTAATGCGCCGGAGATTCGTTTTATTAATTTATTATTTTGTTATCAAAAATATTTAACAACGATTTCGTATATCGACTCGCAATTTTTATAAGGTTTATTTAGATTAAATTTTTAGAATGCAGTTATCACTAATAAGCACAATATATTTAAAATTTATCAAGTTCTACATATTTTTATATTTTCGGCCATAAAAGGATGTCCCATTTTGGAAATATAGTACATACCCTGTAATTTTTTGAATTTCCTTGATAAAGTTCAAAGTCTCTTTCGTCAGCAAATCATTCCAAAACTGAAAAACTAGGAAGATAGTGTCTTCATGCTCTTTAAGTATGTTACATTTTTTTCAATATTGTAAATACAGAGGTTGAAAGTTTTTTGTCATTGATATCTCGAGTTTTTTAAGCTGGAAAGTTTAATCTTCTTTCAAGGTCCGTCAGTGACTGGTTTAGAAAATAATAATTTATCATATTTATTATTCGAATTTTTGCAACGATTGCCAGATAAGGGCGTGTCATGTTTAAGCTTTTAAAATTGTATTGTAACTTTTATACAAATTTTTTTATGCATTTATTTTAAATGCCTTTTGTTGAAAACTGTTGGTTTAAAGGTATTAGCAAGGTATACTTTTTTAAGCAGAAAAATTGTTGGAAAGATCTTTCCAGCCCAAAGTAAGATACACGGTGGCACAAGAAAATTTAGGCAGTTTAAATGCGTCCTAATGGTCGCTTGTGGCGCCCTCTAGAAGATACAACGAAATCGTTGATAAATTCGAATTTCTTATCCTAAAAAATCCCCGGATACGAAATTTCACATAATTAAAAAAAATAAATTTTCCGATTTTTACGGGTCTTCGTTTCTAATTATCCGATCGGATCTATCGACCTCTCGTTTTATTCGTATTTCGATTCTCTACAAATTGTCTCTTTATAGCATTCAGATTGTTTTGTTAGTTTAGGTTTTATAAGTAAAAATCTAAAAAAAATGTGTTTTTGCATAAAAATTTTTATAAAAAATTAATTAATGGTAAATTGGAGGAAATATACAGGTTCGGAAAGTCCCCATGGTACATCGGCCGTTACGTGAGAGCGATAAAGTAAGTCATAGAAATCCGTGCGATAGACAAGGATGGTTACATTGAAGACGTTTCATAATCTGAATAGTCACTCCCACTTCTAACCCGAAACGGGCGGTGACTATTCAGATTATGAAACGTTTTCACTATAGCCATCCTTGTCTATCGCACGGATTTCTTTACTTTACTTTGTCGCTCTCATGTAAAGGCAGATGGACCATGTGGATTTTCCAGCCCTGTATAAGCATACACGGTGGGCCGTTAGTGTGAGAAAGTATAATACTTAACTCCTTTGTTACTCATAATACAGAAAAAAAGTTTATATAAAAGTTGTACAGAATCAAGAAACCTAAACTACAAAATTAATTTGAAACATACAGGGTGATTAGTGAACACGGGACACGCCAAATATTACATTCTTTAAATGGAACACTGTATATTTTTAAATATATAGATTTCTGAGAAAATTCTATAGCAATATAAACAGTTTAACATTTTAGTTCGGGGTTGCCAAGTTATGTAGAAAATTCTTCAAATTTTTGAAAAAACATGACCCCGACGCAGTTGTATTAACTTTCAACTGCTAACACTTGGAGCAAACATATTGGACAGAGTTATAGTCAAATGTTAGTCTAATAGTTTGTCAAATGGAACACCCTGTATTTTATTGTTTTATTTTATTCACATATCGGTCCACTTCAACTTTTATTAAGCATGTACTATACCTAATATTGTTAATTTTTAAGACAGCAACATTTCTGAAAAACTTAATTTTTATTATTTTTGATCGCACGAGATGGATTTGGAAAAAACTGTCACATTGTGTCAACTTGTCAGTTACTAGTAAATATTTATTAGGTATTCTATGAAATAATTCGTGTGGTCACTCAATGTTTGGGGCGGGATTATTGGACTTTACGTTATTGGGCCTTATTTTTCCGAAGAACATTTAACAGGGCAACTATATCTTCACTTTTTACAAAATACCATGGAAAATTTATTAGAAAATGTACCGCTGAATATTCGTCAGAAAATGTGGTATACCAAACTCCCCCCACTACCTAAGGAGGCATAAAAAACCGAATCCTACAAGTTTTTCAAAATATCAACATTGATATTCTGCTGTTAACACCACATTTGAACGACGTGTAGAGCTATGTCTAAACCAAGACCGTCATTTTCAACACTTGTGTGTTTAAACTCTATTGTTATATATTATTAATGTCTTTTTCTAAACAAATATGTATAATTCAAAATTATTTATATGATGGCACAGTCCGTTTGCTGCTAGTATTTTTCTATGGCAACTCGTAGATACCTGCACCACATCTACGAAGTAGATGCAAAATTTACAGTAATTACATTATGTGGTTTCATCAATCATTTATTACAAAATAGCACATAAAAATCCTGTACAATTGGAAAAACTGAATGAGGCATATAAACAAATTTACACTAAAGAGGAGGTAATTCTTGGGTATGATAACCAAAGAGTAACGGGACCATATCACTCCGGTAAAGGTCAGCGCAAGCGTTTGCTGGATGCTTATCGTGCTGGGATCCCTCTTCAGGTCCGCTAGTCCAGCAATTACCAGACCCCATTTAAATAAGGGCGCCCAGAAGAACACAGTTTGCGGACCTAAATGTATTATCAAAACAGGTTACATTTAGCAGTTCTTTGTCACGAGCTTATAAGACCTGGTTCAACAAAGAAATTAGTGTATAAAACTAATGGATTTATCAAATTTAAGACTACCAACTTTTAGAATATCAGTCTTGAAAGTAACAATCCATCTAATTATCTTAATCGTTGGTATTATAATCTGCGCTGCCATATGCCAAAATTGTAGAATGAAACTAAAGTTAAAACGAGCCTACATTTTCTATTTCTGGGCCAATTTATTAGAATATTTGCAATTTATGTATTTTGTTAAATGTCTTAATATCTTGTATATTAATAGCAATAAATAAATATATTGGGTCAAAGATTGGCAAATTTAAAACGGATTTTAGTAGTGCATATTTAAATACTCAAATTGCAATCGTTACCTGCTGGATGCTGCCAGAGCGGTAGATATTTTTTGGGAACTAGGTGGTCAAACCTGCTGTTTAGTTTTTCTTTCGCGTATCCCGACTGGAATTTTCTTAACTTGAAATTTTTCAATACTAAGGCCCGAATCATTTTGTAATGTACTGAATTTGACCGTGGACCGTGTCTACGTCCATGACTTTTAATTTGATCGAAGTGACATTCAAATGTCAAATGAAATATGTGAATGTAACTGTATCCATGGAAAATACTATGCTTTGCGATTACGCGTTTACTAGCTAAGAGAATTTTACTTTCGATTTGGTTATGTCAAGTTCGTATAGTCCAGTATAATAGCAGAGTTTCACCAATAGTAATTTTTCATAAACCCCATTTTTTTTATAAATCAACTACTAATATATTATAAAACAAAGTTCACGAGCAAATATTATTAACAATTTACTTCAACAAAAATTTTTTGTTTCTCTTCAGTATCTCTGCGAAGAAAGTGCAATAAAGTAATGGCAAAAATCTATGTTTTTCTTAAAATTGTTACCAATTTTCTAAAAATTAAATAAACGTCATGAAACTTTCGGAAAATACCCCTCAATTTATGTATAAGTTTCCGAAACCCGCTATTGATGAGTCGTTGCTAAGTCACTCATAAACTCACCCATAAAAATTTTATGTAAAATTACTATATCATTGGTTATTTTGACGCATAGTAGGTAATGTAAACTTGCATCATATGTAAGTAGTTACATTAAGCATGTAATTTTACACTTTTTGTATAATTCGCCCAAAATGTAAAGAACCTCGCACAAAATCAATGGAAAATGGGTCCCAGTCGATTTTGCTGAAATTGCAGTATGTTATTTTTGACTTTCTGATCAAAAGTTGTCATGGGCCCAAAGTGATCCTATGAATAGTTTCAGAGATAAAGAAGGGGGAAGTATGTGATTTTGGCTGTAGGCCACGAAGTTTCAAGTTGATGGATTCAAAAATTGAGGTAATTTTGGCCAGTAGGTGCAATGCTTTTGGGATCATTGAACTTGAATTCGGGGATAGCTTAGCTATCTAAGGTCACCTGGAGGTCAGGTAAAGGTCGTTTCAAAGTCAGACTGAAGAAAAGACTTGAATTTTGACCAGTGAATGTACAGGTTTTTGGGCTCGCAGAATCTGAATCTGGAGATAGCGTAACCCTAGTGCAAGTCAATTCAAGGTCATTTCAAGATCAAACTAAAGAGAAGGCTTGTATTGAATTTCAACCAGAGTGTATATAATTTTTGTTTGGGGGGGGGGGACTGAATTCGAGGGTAGCTTAGTCTTTCGGTCAAGTCAAGATCATTTCAAGGTCAAAGTAAAGAAAAGGCCTTTCACGAATGTTAACCTATAAGTATGCTAAGTTAACCTATGCTTTTGAGGTCGCTGAACCTGAATTTGGGGATAGCTTAGCCCTATAAGGTCACCTACGGGGCTTGAATTGAAATTAAGTCAAATGAAATGACCTTGTCTTAATTTCCAGTAATCTCTGTAAAAAGCCTCCCTACTGATTTAAAGGACAAGGACCTTTTTTGTGACATCTTTATCCTTCAATGTTTAAATTTAAAATTGAGCGACCAAATACTTTTTAATACTCTCGAAAGCCTGATAAAACTAATTAATCTGAATTAAAAATGAGGAGTAATTATGTACTTATCTAATTGTAAGACAAATGGGATGCAGTTTCTTACATAAAATTTACTTTAGATATAAAATAATTAAATAGAGAAGGAAAAACATTCTTCACGGATTTTCTTTGAGAAATCTTACCGAGGGTTTCATTTACATGAAGCCTTTCCTAAATGAAATTTAACCTAGATCTCGCGTCTAGGTGCATTTTAAGGTGGAATCTTTGAACCATTTCGGGAGCAATCACCACTTATTGAGAACATTAAACTGAAAACAAAATATAGTATAAGTAAAACAATAAATAAAATAAGTCTTAAATAGTAAGCTACAATCTGGATGTCTGTGTGTAAAGGTTAGGCAAAGTTCAATATGATTATTATTGATAGTTCTCAAATTCTTCAATATTAAATGAACATATACCGAGAGATATAATTGACACAGCCATATTATTGACTTACCCAGTATTTATTTATAACATTGGTTTTGGGTAGTCAAAACACTGTGCTATATTATAACGTCATAAATTAATCTAAACATGCCTACTAAGCACAGTTCTCTACGCACACGCGCGGTAACACCACACTGGATGATCGCATGATTAATATGCTTGTTTGAGTAAATCAGGTAATTTAAATTCACGTTTATTTGAATATTTATATCAAATATAGTACAAACACAGGACTTATTAGGTTATATTTATATATTTCAAAATGTAAAAGTACGTAAACGGTAAGAATACAGCGCAAAAAGAAAATGTACACTCTAACGTGTAATTCTTTCTATACAATGTATCATGTATGTTTAATCCATTTACATTTTTTGTGTATAAAAACCATTACAAATATGAAAAAGGCCTATGTGAATTACCACATTTACCATTGAACATACCGGAAACTTTGGGATGATGGTAACATTTTTCTAGATCTTACATCTTTACAAAACTTGTGAGAACGTACTAAGTATAAGACTTCAAGAATCAAGTGCATTTTGCAAAATTCGCTTTTATTAATTTTTAAGCGTTTGAGAAGATTTTATAAAAATGATCATATTCTTTTACGCGAACGAAGAACGGATTTCGAAAGAGCGTTGAAAACACATTTAAAAATTATATTTTTATCCGGCCCATTATTACTTAGCGACTTAGCAAAATATATTATTATTATTGTTAACAATGAACAAATAAGGCACCGTGCGTAATATTGTTTGCTTTGTTCTAACGTAAAATATTCCAGTAATAATTAGGGTGATATAGCTTATCGTTTAATACCCCGGTTATTAAAATAATCCATTATATAATTTTAATTTAAATGTAGACGTGTAATAATAAAATTAGTTTGTCTCTAATTTTAGTGTTTGTAGATAATTCGAGTATTTACAATGTAACTAAAGTAGATCACCTATAGGATTGTATTTAGGTAATAAAGTTTAACTGGCATTTATTAATTTTATCGACTAATGTAGTAAGTAGTTAAAATTAGGACTGATTTTTAACCTTATATAAAATTTTTAAAGAAAAGTGTTTTGTTAATTCTCAATAGAGGTGTTTGTCCGAAGATGTCCTAAGGAATTTGTGTTTTCTAATAAAGTTATATAATGTAATATTGAACAGTTGCCCGCTTCACCTTCAATATACTTATTAGCCTCAAATGAAAAATATTTTCAGTAATAAAAGACAGTTACAAAAACCACAAATCGTTGAAGAAAACAATGGTGTGTGGATATTTATTTTAGTATAATTAATTCCATATTGTCAGGAAGTCTTTCTTGTAAAATATATAAGTCGTAGTTTGACGTCAATAAAAAAATGTATCCGTTTATAAGATATATTGGAAAAAAGACAAAAAAAAAATTTCTACGCGTATTTCGGAACCGGGGCATTTTAGAAATGTTTTGATATTAAGGTTTTCTAAGAAATTGTCCCCTTCATCTGAGAATCCTTGAGAAACGCCATGTGTGCATTATTGAACATTTGAACTTTTTATAATCACCGTGTCGTGATCAAATTAAAAAGAAAAATTTTTGGTCATCATCTCCAATGTTGCTCCAGTATAAAGGCCATCCATGCGTCACTGATGCGCATTCTAACAAACTATTGCTGTTATTTCACAAAGTTGCTCAAATAATCCAACACGTCAATTTGGGGGCATATTTTTTATGCTTATAACTTTGAAACAAGACCTAAAAACTTATGCTTTGGTGAGCGAAGTAAAACCATTACCGATTTTGAGCTACCAAAGTATCAGCTAGTTAGCTTATTTTGTTGTCAAGATATGTGCTATAAGGTTTGAATTTTATTCGACAATTTGTGAGAATTTTCAAACCCAAATAGCACAAAATCTGTATGGTGGCACATTGAATTTTCACTGCTCCTCCCCTGTGGTGCATTTTCTTCGGTTTCCGTGATAAAAGGATTATTTATCGCAAATTTCAATAATCGTATAGTGAATATTTATCATAGATTTCAATACATAATTGTATTGTAAATATCAAGGAAATTACAGTAAAGAAAATAAACTATCCAATTAATGTAAAAGAGTGGAAACCAAAGAGAACCCACCTAATGCACCATAGGGAACCGTGAAAATTCAATGTGCATGTGCATATAGGTTTTGTGCTATTTGGGTTTGAAAATTCACAAAATTTGACAAATAAAATTCAAGCCTCATGTTCAATAACATTTATCTTGACATCAAAGTGAGCTTAAGCTTAAAAAATCCGTAATGGTTTTCGATAACTCAGCAAACCATAACTTTCTAGAAGGTATTGTTTCAAAATTATAAACATAAAAAATCTGCCCCAAATGATGAATGACGAATATAAGACTAATGGTTTTGAACCACCATTATTTTTTACAGCCTTTGACACAAGTGCAACCACTGCATCCTCTACTTTATTTTTGCCTCTATCAGTTGTAATAGATTTTTTCCATCGAAGGTTCTTATTAATGGCATTTTCAACTCCCTTAAAAATATCTTCCCCAGTAGTCGTACCGTGAATGATCATTATCAAGAAGTTCTTCAAACACTTCATAGCTTTTATCTACTCCTCGAATAAAAATCAACACCTGAGCAGTATCTGACATGTACCAAACTCATACTATCCGCGAGATGCGCAGACAAGATGAATTTGATCAAGCTGTAGTTTCTAAAACAAAATTGTATAAAAAGAACGTAATATCAATCAACCTTCAATTTCGCAATAGTTAAAAATAACTGTTATCATGTATGTGATATTGTATCGATTTTGATTTCGAAAATACGGATGTTTTAATCTAAAAACATAAAATATTGGTTATAATTTTATGGTTAATTTACCTTACTATCACACAAACATAATTTTACACTTTTTTACAACGGGGAGTTTTTGGAAATTGTATTATACCATTTACAATTTCATAAACATTTTAACATTATTGATTTTCAGATGTAATTATACCATCATAGATAAAAATCTTTATCTATGAATATTGAATAGTACAACGTAGTAAGATACTCCTTACAGTATATTAATAACTTAAAAATAGAAAATAA